GGCAGGTTTAGACTGCCGTTTTTTGTATTTTTCAGGTTTTTCGTTTTTATTTCTTGTTTTGCTTCGCCGGCGATCATTAAAATTTTATAATTTGATTAGTCAGATATCACGTGATTCTGCATTGCTTTAGACGACCCCCTATTAAGTGATTTCTAATAAGCTTCAATAATCATTGTTGTACATGCTAAGAATATATTATTACTAGCAAATCATGCCCAAAAACACTAAAGATTAGCTTGATACTATTCTCTCCAAAGATATGCCTATAAATATGATAAATTGTTATTAACACAAAATGTATACATAGCTATTATAGCATTTGTATAAATTATAAATGAAGATAAAAATTCTTCTAAAGTATTAACAGATATAAGTGGATAATAATTAAGATGTTTTATTATTAAAAAAACTACTTGATTATATAATACTGGTGACCAAAAATATTGTACAGATGCTGATGGCTTAAATTTAAAATCAATAAAATTAAAGATCTTGTGTACATCTTCTGAGTTATATATTGTTTTTATAGTATATTCTTTTTTTTGTAGCTGACGTAAAACTGTCCAACATAAATGATTGAACTTTTATATAAGGCCAAATTGTTTTAATAGTATTGATTTGTGCGAAATCCTTATTAATAAAAAAAAAGGTAGGATTAATTCCATGTTTTTGCAATGCACTTAAATAATTAGTTAGTACTATAGTATGCTTGTTTTGTATAGATATTAATAAATTTCGAATTAATTATAATAGTGGATAATTAATACCTTCTATGCTTGCTATAACTACATAAAGCTCAAATCCTGTACTATTTGTTTTATATGTAGCATCTATAGCTACTTTCTCATACTTAAAATATAATAAATCTAAAAAAAAGAATAATAAATGCAATTTCAAAAAGTTCATCTCCTTAATTACTATTTAATAATAAATAACTTTCATCTTCTTGTAAAAAATAAGTTGCTGAAGTAAATTGATCATCATCACAAAGATAAAGTTTTTGATAAAATGTAGACCACCAAAAATAAACTTGCATTTGTGTTAATGTATTTAATTGATATTGCAATTGTTCCCAAAGCTGTTTTGAATTAAGATGCATATTATTTTTAATAAATTTTTTTACTTTATCATCAACATTTTTTTTTATCTTTGAATGTAAATGAAGCTCATAATGATGTAAATAAATATATGCAATCATTGTTTTTAAATTTACAATAATTTGCACTAATCTTTGACATGTAAATCATTCTTGTTTATTATATATGCGTTGAAAATTTAATTCTAAATGATCTATTTAAGAAGAAAAAGAACGTGTATACCAATATGTTTGTTTATTACTAACATTATTGTAATAGCACATATAATTCTATTTATAATCATCAGCAGTTTGAATAATATTAATAATTTCTTGAAAAATAAAATCTATTGTCATATTATTAAATTTTTCATTTGGTAAAATTATATGAAGTTTTATTTCAATTCTGTTTTCATTATTTTTATATGCTTCAAGCTCAGTTAAAATAAAATTTTCTAAATTATCTAATTCAAATATATAATTTAAAAAAAAATCATTCTTATTATTCTAATAAAATTTATTTTTATTATCTTAATCTTTTGCCAAAGATAAATTAAGTTTTTGACAACAAGCTTTGCATATTTTAAAATAATCAGTTTTATAAAAACTGAATTCTTCAGGATTTTTAATATTTCCACAATATGAACAAGATCTTGTTTTTGCTAATGACATTATAATAAATATCAATAAAAGTAAAAAGTTCTTTAAATAGTCTTTTACAAGATTAGTATGTTTGATAACTATAATTTAAAGTGTATAATTAAATTATTACCCAAAATAATCTAATAGCATGATTTATCAACAATCAATTCATTGACAAATATATTTTACAGACAGTATGAGCTATTTTACTGACAATATAATTTTGATTATTGCTATTAGTGTCTAGATAGAATTAGAGTTTAGGTCAATGTAATTTAAAAACAAACTTGTCAGTGTATAGTATTGTCAGTAAAATGAACTTGTTAGTAAATTGATTATTAAAGAATTGCACTGTTAGTAAATTGATTTTTGGTGAAATAAACCAGATCCGAAATAATACTTATCTAAAATTAGCAACTAATACAATTTGATCTTAAATACTAATATCAGTCAAGTATAATTTCAAATAGCCATCAACTTTAGATACAATAATAATATTCTAAAACTGATAATTCAATATTAATGCAAAACCTATCTACTATGCAAGTTTTTTTTAGTAAGTTTAATAGTGTTTTAAAGTGAAACAAATTTAAAAAAACATTAGTAACCTTTGAAAAAAAAAGGATAAACAAACAAATAAAACAATAATACTTACCTATATGTATACATAAACTCTGTTTTAAAATCTTTTATAAAAAATAACTTTAAATTTCATGATAATTATATATATATTGTCTTAATAAATTTTTTTAACAACAGCCTATTCAATTTTTGAAATTAAAAGCATCTTAAAAACTAAGTATGATAGTATGCATTAGTAGAGAAGTTTTAAAAAGAGTTAATCTAGTAATTATCTTAAATTATCACCCTCGATATAATCACATAGGAATTTTGATTAGCTATAAAATGTAAACAAATGTCAGATGATCCATGTAATGTGGGTATGTATATATTATATCTTCAGAAGAATTATATCGACACAACTTTGCACAGCAAAATGGCCGCATTAGCTAATCGATACAGCATGCCCAACGTTAGAGTTAGGTTAGTATTAGGGTATGGGCAAAATTAGTCATATGCTTCTGTGTCAGTATAATCAAGAAAAGAAACTCTGACTAGTTTATTCACAGTCCAAACCAAATATTTTACAAACTTAAAATATTTTTAGAAAGATAAAACTTATAAGCAAACTATTATTATAAAATCTCAAAATCTGATTGATTGGCCTATTGCTATCATTTGCTGTAAGGATCCCATATGTAGATTATTTTTTATATAGGTTATATATATAGAGGAGATAAAATTAACTGAAATAATAGAGGCACCAGATGTTACACAGTATATGTAATTGATAATCACCTGATATTTTGTTTATATTTTTTTGGCCAATAAAAATTTTTATGTGATTATATCGAGGTTATAATTTATGATAATCACTGGGTTAACTCTTCTTAAAGTGTCCCGCATTAGTATATATTAAACATTTGAAATTTTGAATCAAATTTAACGTCTATTAAAATAGAAGTTGTGCCGAAACTTTCCTCAAGTTTTGAGCGAAGATATCCTAATAATCATTGGGCCAAATTCGATGAAATTATGTTATTTGAATTCTACGAATTTGTAGAATCTAAATAAAAAAAAAGGTTATTGAATTTGGCCTGGTGGTTATCGAGATATCTTTGTACAAAGTTTGAGTAAGGTTTTGGCGCAATTTCTATTATGATAGACGTTTTGAGTTTTTTTAAAAGTTTAAGTGAGGGTATCTCAATAACCACAGGCAAAATTATTTTATTTGAGTGCTATAAACCTGTAAAATTCAAACAAAAAAAAAGAAGATCAATTCGGCCTGGTAATTATCGAGATATCTTTGCTCAAATTTTTTCAAAAAACTCCCAAATAGAAGCTGCGCTGAAACTTTTCTCAAACTTTGAGCGAAGATATCTCGATAATCACCAGGCCAAATCTGATAAATTTTTTTTTATTTGGATTCTATGAATTTTTAGAATTCAAATAAAAAAAAAACTACCAGATTTGACCTAGTGGCTATGGAGAAATCTTCGCTTGAATTTTTAAAAAAAAATCATTTACGCTGCATCAGGTGAAATGATTGACATCAAGAACGTTTTCTGATTGGACGCTGCATCAGGTGAAATGATCGACATCAAGAAAGTTTTCTGATTGGTGCATCTTTGTAGGGTAGTCATAACGTTTTCATATCGGGGGTACTCTAAAGTTAATATAAATAATCGTGTAACGATCGACATTACAGTTGTACCACATAAAAACGACTTTCCATCTGCTTTGTACGTGTCAAGCTTTAGTACTTAATGGCTTCAAGATCTTTTTCTATACAATTGAATTTGTCAATTTTTAAACGGAACTTTAAGGGAATTAACTTAATTCGAAAATATGCCACAGCATCAGATACCGTTAGACTATCTTTTACTCAATTTGATCCACCGAAGCTAAATGAAAGGCCTGAATGTAGCACATTAATAATTCTTCATGGGTTATTTGGCTCAAAACAGAATTGGAAATCATTAGCAAAAGTTTTCGCCCAACGCTTGAATGCTCGTGTCTTTACTTTGGTAAAGATTAATTCACATACATTTATTGATTTTTATATATTTTTAATAATTTTTAAAACTTCAGGATCTAAGAAACCATGGTGAAAGTCCACACTCTGAAGTGCATAATTATGAAGTTATGGCCAAAGACGTTGTAACCTTCATGAACGAACACCAGCTTAAAAGAACAGTTGTAATGGGTCATTCTATGTATGTGTAGCATATTTCATAATACATTTATTAAGATTAGTTAGAATTACAACAAAACATAAACTTGTTGCTTAGGGGAGGGAAGGTTGCCATGACTATGGCACTAATGCAAGTGCCTCAGATTGATCAGCTTGTAATTGTCGATAGTGCACCAATTGATGCTCGCATGTCAAAAGAGTTTGATAATTATGTCGAAATAATGAAAAACATTGAGCAAATTGGAGTCGTAAAACAGAGTCAAGCTGATGAAATAATGAAAAGTTATATTTCGGTAAAATAAATATACTTTTTCTAAAATAACGATGCATTTTTCTTTTCTTTTACCATGTGTCGCTTAAATATTGTTAAACTAATAGGACATTAATATACGACAATTTTTACTGACAAATCTTAAAAAAGTTCCAGAATCAGAAACATACAAATTTCGCATTCCACTAGACGTGCTTGGAAATTCGCTTAAAACATTGCACGGATTCCCTTTTGATCCTGCTCGTCACACTTTTCATAAAAGTACACTTTTTGTTGCTGGAACCAAGTCGAAGTACATTCCTTCAAAGGTTGACTCAGTACATTAATACATTTTTAATCTACTCGATATTATTTGTTAATCATAAAATTCAAATGGTTTATTCAAGGTCCATCCCACTATTAAAACGCTATTTCCCAATTCGGTGATTGTTGAGTTAGATACCGGTCATTGGGGTAATTCATGTGCTTGCTTAATACAATATGAACCAAATTCCATCTTCTAACTTCTATTCAATTTTAGTTCATTTCGAGAAGCCTCTTGAATTTACAACGATCGTGACGGATTTTTTGAAAAATGGACTTTCTAAGTAACTGGAATAATATATTTTATTTTGAGGCACGAACAACTCCCTCCAATCATATTTCGACAAGAATATATGATCAATGTGCAATAAACACATTGATAGAAAATGATATATTTTAAATTATAAGTATGGGACTATCACCTAAAGATGTTAAACACTTCCACTAAAAAACAAGGATAAAAAACAATACTTGAAAGATTTTATTATTCTTAAAATAATTCCAAAACGTATATAGTGCATTTCAAAATCGCAAAATTCTATAGTAACTCGACTTATTTCTATAACAGCCATATGCTGATATTTATTTACTGAAATTAAAATTTCGCATATATTTATAAAAGTTATATGGTGTATATCTTTGCTAAATGACACTTTCAAAGCATATTCATCGGAAAATTGTTGATAAATCGAATATTTCAGACTTAACTGCAGTTACTTCAGACAAGCTAGGCGTTTTTAAAATATTTATTATATATGAACAAGCTTTAGTTGTTAAATTTGTTGATTTTCTTTTTGATCTGTATTTCATTTATTAGATTTCTATTTGTACTCTATAGGTATAGAGTTTGGAACCGGTTTTATTTTTCATATGTAAAAACCGATTAAAACCGGTTTTAACATATGAAAAATAAAACCGGTCCCAAACTCTATATAGGTATGATACGTATCAGGTATAAGAAAAAAATAAGCTGATACGTAATATCTCAAAAATTTATTAGGAAAAACGATGTGGATACGTATCTTAAATCACCTAATTTTATATACTTTAATTTACCCAATCCAATATATAGTATACTGTATTTTTTTTCGCATCAAAGTAATGAATCTGGGTCGGTTAATGTATTGTTGGAACACTGTTTCGCACCATATACGTGAAACCGGTAATCGAACTCAGTTTGCTTGCTCAAACAAGTTACCGGTAATAAAACCTGCTTTGTTATCACTATTTAATAGAGAAATACATGACTTTTACATTCGTCATTTTCTCGGTTACGAATTGGATTATAAACAGTTCTTCGTTAGGTACAGAAGTTTCATGGGCTGAAATTCGTCTAATTGGCTAGTTTCGTAGATCAATTTGTAGATCTACATGTGATTATTAGCCAATCA